CTCTCAGCTCCACTTTCGGATGAGTCCGTAGAGCTTAGTGGTAAGTATCCAGAGCTTGTGGGCTGCCTCATGTACCTGATGACCTGCACGCGACCAGACCTCGCGTACCTTTTCAGCATCCTGACACGCTACGTTGCGCCCGGGAGACACCGACGAGAGCACTGGCGGGCTGCTAAGAGGGTGCTGCGCTTGTGCTGTACATCGGGCACAGGGCTCGTGCTTGGAGGATGCGGTTCAGTTGTACTCTTTGGAGACTCGGACGCTTCTTGAGCAGACGACCAGATGACGTAGCGGTCGTCAGAGGGTTATCAGTTTTAATCTTGGCTCCGGTTCAGTTTCTTGGAGGTCTACCCGCTCGTCTTTTGTTCTCAGCTCCAGTTGTGAGGCTGAGATCTATGCAAGAGGCCATGGCTGCACAGGAGTTACGCTGGCTGGCCTACCTGCTGACCGACCTAGGTGGGCAGTCTCGTTCTCCTCCAGTCCTGTTCGTCGACAACAAGGCCATGATTGCCTTGTGTCGGGAGCAGAGACTGGAGCACAGAACGAAGCATATCGCTCTGCGTTACTTCCTCGCACGAGAGTTGCAGCAGCGTGGTCAGCTTCGCCTTGCTTACGTGGCCTCATGGGCCAACACTGCTGATATTTTCACGAAGGCATTTGTGTCTGGTGATCATCAGCGTTTTTGCACTGTCAGAATGTTATTCTCTAGCCTGTAGTGGGGTGCTCTATAGCGAGTACAACCCATCTAGGGTTTGCTATATGTATCCTCATTGCTGCTAGTGAACCCCTCCTCTTTTGCCTAAACTTCTCTTTCCTAGCTAGGACTTACCTAGCTATGGCTCCTAACTCTACCTACTATCTTCACATGGTATCAGAGCATCTACGCTCCTGGCCTGTGGGCCCACCTAACTGCTTCCGCTGCTACTCTGTGTGTTGCACGCCCCGTGGCGTGCGACGGATTTCTCTTCCCGCCGCGCGCTCGGAGCGTGCGGCGGTTTTCTGCCCGCCGTGCGCCCCGAGGCGCGCGGCGGTTTTCTGCCCGCCGTGCGCCCCGGGGCGTGCGGCGGTTCTCTGCCCGCCGTGCGCCCGAGGCGCGCGGCGGCCTTCTGCCCCGTCGGTCCGCGCGTCGCCCCCGGGGGGCGCTTCGACGGGCGACGGGGACCAGCCCGTCGTCCCCCGTCGCCCGTCCTGGCCAGCGCGGGCTGCGCTAGCCCCGAGCGCGGCCCGTATGGGCTGCGCCCGGCCCGCGCGCGGCCCGTACGGGCTGCGCCCGGCCCGCGCGCGGCCCGTACGGGCTGCGCCAGGCCCGCGCGCGGCCCGCACGGGCTGCGCCAGGCCCGCGCGCGGCCCGTACGGGCTGCGCCAGGCCCGCGCGCGGCTCGGGCCGCCTGCGCGCGGTTCGTCGGGCTGTGCCAGGCCCGTGGGCGGCCCGTTCCTCTCTGTCCCTGAGCTGTTCGCTGTCCCCCGTGCTTCTGACGGTGCCCCACCCCTGCTGCTGCCCGTTCTCCTGAATTAGGGTTTGGGGGTGAGGAGTGTGGGGGTGGCGGTTGTGTGTTACTCCCCTTGCTCCTCCTCCTCCCTGGTCTCCCACTGCTGCAGCTGCCGCTGAGGGGGGTGGGTGTGTGGGAGCCTAGGGTTTAGGGTTTTAGGGGGGTGCGTGGGAGTGGAGCTAGGGTTTGAGCAGTGGGTGTGTGTCGAGGGTGTGGGGCAGTTGGAGGAGGTTGTGTGGAGGTACCTGTCGTGTCGCCTGCAGCGCCTGTAGTCCGTCGCCCTTGCTTCGGTAGCCAGTGAGCCTGCTGCACCAGTCGCCAGTGGGTCCGTTGCTCCTGCCGCTCTTCTATAGCCGCCGAGCCAGTTACTCCAGTAGTCCGTCGCCCTTGCTTCGGTAGCCTCTGAGTCAGCCGCTCCTGTGCCCGTGCCTCTGCAGCTTCAGTCGTTGCCTCCCATCTTCTCTACCTCCACAGCTCCTCCTCCTCCTCACTTGCCCGCTGTGATTAGCTCTAGCTTTGCTTACCTTTGTGAACTCCTGCTCTATACCTGCTTGCTCATTGTACTGATTACAACCCACTTTGGCTATGGGGGTGTGTCAGAATGTTATTCTCTAGCCTGTAGTGGGGTGCTCTATAGTGAGTACAACCCATCTAGGGTTTGCTATATGTATCCTCATTGCTGCTAGTGAACCCCTCCTCTTTTGCCTAAACTTCTCTTGCCTAGCTAGGACTTACCTAGCTATGGCTCCTAACTCTACCTACTATCTTCACATGCACTGCTCTAGGCCTTGTGCCATCTCTGCCTCACTTGCTTACTGCTTGACTTTGCCTTGTACTGTGATCTATATATCTATTCTTACTTATGTATTATTGCTAGAGTGTGATCACTGTACTGCTTGTACTTTCTTATAACTCTGCATGTGAGCTGGCATTGTGGCCCTTTGCTTGTGCTCAGAAAGTGTGGTGGCTTCGTGATCCACCTCAAGCTTTGCTTGTTTGCTTTTCTTGACTGGTCTTGTGACCGCTAGTTATGCTAGGCTGTTGTGGGGCACTCCTTAGAGAGTACAGTAGCTTTAGGTTTTCCTCTTGTACTTTTCGACGTTCTCATCAATCCAACCACCTACATTGCTACTCTCGTAAGGCATGGCCTATGAAACTAGTATCTTAACAGTACTTGCACGTTATACTCAAATTCGTCCAAAAAAAAAATATCTCTACAGATCCAGTGTATTTCTTGATGAAACTGTTGTACGACCACGATGCGATACTATAGTCAGGTGTGGACACTCGCTGTAAGGCCCCTTGGGCTAAATCCGCTAAAGATTAGCGGGGTCGACTAAGTCGATGATGAAACGCGGCAGAAGAATTTGGCGAAAGATGTTATCAAAATAGGCAAAGAAGTTACCAAGTAATAGTCGAATGCGAATTGGTTGATATTGGCGAATGCAAGCAAGGGTGATACAACATGCAAGATCGAATGTCGGAAAGCACTTCGTGGGACTAGGAATTGTAAGGCAAGAAAAGTAGAGTGTCACGTGGCACTAGGAAATCTGAGAAGGATAAGGATAGGGTTGGGAAGTACTGTGCAAAGTGAACAGTATACCCCCCTGTAACACTCGCGAACCAAATGAGAGGGCTTGCAGCTTTTCGTCCGTCAATGGAAGTGACTACGCACGAACCTAGTTTCCAGATCCCCTTTCCTTTTTGGGGTCGTGTCCCCAAACCCTCACCGGATCATTCCTAGTCCGTTTTCCGAATCTCGATCCCGAACCCGATCCGCGGTCCTTGGCGAACAGTTCGACACTCTTCCTAGCCAGCAACAAGGCGCACATAAGGCGTGGGATTTGACGAGTAGATTTAGGCGCGAGAAAACTCCCAATGGCTCTCGTTTTGTCTGCTAGTTCTGCAGCAGGAAGTGGAACGTGGGAAGCTGACAGGTTTCTACAGCAATGGGCGCAGATCCGTTGGTTGGTTTACCGATGGGCGTGCATTCATATGGCTGTCGACGCGCAGCCTCGGCATTCCCGATGTCGTGGGGATGTCGATGTGGGAAAGTACTGCAGGAAGGAAAACGGGCAGAAAACGGGAATTTCAGTGCGTAGAAGCGACAGCAGCAGATTCGGGGCACTGATTTTACCGCCAACAATTCAGGACACACCCACCTGGTTTTCCCGCGCGTTTGATGGCAAGCAAACTGCACACATTCGCCAATTGGCCGACAACCGTCGATCTGCTGGATATCCAGATGTTGATCATTTTGGTGCGTCACACCCACTCACGGGCACAATGCTGCGGGTGGGGTGATGTAGTGGCGAGCAGGAGTGTGAGGTGGCCGCATTCGGAAACGTCAGGTACAGCATTGCAGCTTACTGGCGCAGTTTGCTGTTGCTAGCTGTGCTGCTGGGGACCGTGAGTGATAGTTTGACCCCATTCACAACGACATTCCTTCACGCCAATTCCCTGGCACACGTAGCTGCTGCTGCTGGAGAGCCTGATAGGCTACGAGAGAGGGAATTGACCATTCAGAACGAGTGGTTGACATCAGCCATCGGCACAACCCCCTGCTTCTGGAGAGCTGTGCTGCTCGGGAGTTAGGCAACGAGGGAGAGAATTGACCACACGTTCCGGCGGGACTCCATACTCTCGCCTAGAGTGTCGAGAGCCATGGATCATACCTTGGGCTACTCCCGGGGAGGCAACAGGGGGCGAGACTGGAACCCGGGGAGACGTGGACACTCAGGAGGAGGCAGAGGACGGTGGCGATCCGATCTTGAGACTCAGAATGAGAATCAGAATCAGAGTCAGGGCGGAGGTCGCGGACGCGGTGGGAGTGAGAGAGGGTGGGGAGGAAGAGGAGGAGGAGGAGGGGGAGGAGGGGGAGGAGGGGGAGGAGGAGGAGGGGGAGGAGGAAGAGGGGGACAAGGAGGTTCGTCAAGTTCAGACGGTCAGCAGAGGAGGGGTCCAAGCCTGTGGCCCTTTCTGACAAATGACAGAGTTTTTGCGAATCAATCTCACATGAGGACGTTCGTTCGCGCGATGGAAGCTGAGGATGCCCCAGGTACTTCCGTCTTCTATAGGAGGCCATCACGCGGGGGAAGAGTTGCCCATCACTAGAGTCCTGGTACACCTTTCAACATCCAAAACGTTGCTAATGCCACGGATCTATTTCTATCATTGTCATCCCAACCAACCGTGTTGCAGATCTGGTGATAGTACTGGCTGACGACAAGCTGCACGGCAGGCGGAAGGTGGTCAGCATCTGCCAGGAGGCTGTAGCGTGCGGTCCTTCACGATCCGTAGCTGCTGGGAGTCACACCCAACTCGTATCCTTCCAGGCTCTCATTCTGCCCATGCTCAGCATTTTCTGCCAGGTAACGCCATTCAATTTTGCTTGCAAATCTGCCCTCCAATCTGCTGAACCATGGTGTCGATCTCTGCCCTGTGTCAGATTTTACGTTTCCAAATTATGCTCCTGTGATCCTTCTGCCCTTCATTCTTGAAACGGTTTCTATGCAGCCCGAGTTTTTCAACAACCCCGCATCGAGCAAGGTGAACGTGGCGCGAGCGGCAATCGCGGAGGTCCCAGGCCTGCAGGAGTGCCTTGTGTGCTGCATGCGACTGCTCACTGAATGTGCAGAGATGCGCGATCCGTCACTGGATGATACAGACAGTGTCACAGACTGGGACGTGGCCATCCACGTTATAATCACCTTCTTTAATCTCACGATGGATCGCTTCTACTCCCTGTTCGACGCGGCACAAGCCAGAGCGGACGCTGAACTTCTGGACACGATGGTTGAGATCTGGCAGGTTCAGAAGCCGGTGTTTGATGGCAGGTACCGCAGCCTTTGGTCCACGCTCGACAGGCTGCGAAAGTCGCTGCAGAGACGCCAGCACAGTGAGAGACAGAGGCAGAGGGCGGAGGAAGGCCAGCAGCTGCATGTTGACTTCCCTTCAGGTTTGTTCACGCTGTAGCTGGGCTGCTAGTATGACTGCTTCCATCTGATAAAAGCTGTACATGATGCGTTTAACTTTCGTCTAATGCCAAGTCCGTGACACGTGTGATTCCATCTGCTGCCGCTGCTGCCGCTGTGCTGTGCTGTGGCGTGCATGGGTGTGCAGGAGGTCAGCGTCTGTTCAGCATGCAGGCTGAGGATGGCCCGGGCGAGCTCAGCTTGGAAGGCCGCCCTCGCCACGACAACGACCACATCGAAATCTCAGCTGTAAAATGCTCTCATGTCCTTGGCATGCCATGATATGACAATCATTTTTTATTTCGTTTTTCATGAGGGCTGCGGATAGCCCTGGTGGGCTCACCTAGGGTGGGTGGATGGTCACAGGTGTTTTTATAATACGCTGATACCACATACTAACACCACGACTCCGACACTGGGTAGATTTGCTTCTTGATGGAAACGTTGCTTGTTTTGATAGGTTAATACTATACCTCTCTTGCCCGACTCCAGATCTCTGTGGCTCCAACGATGGACGAGGTGCTCTGCGACGCCGCGCCCTACCTGCCGCACAACCACCCAAGCGAGCCGCACCGGCTGCCTGCTGGCTCAGTGGGGCGCCACGTGGACATTCAATTCCGCCTGCTGCGCCACGACCTCGTCGCCCCCCTCTGGAGCAAGGCGCTCTTCCTCTTCCACCGCCTCACCCACGAGTCTTCCCGCGGTGCGAGCAGCAGCAGGAGCAGCAACAGAGCTGGCATTGGTGGCGACAGGGAGGAGGCAATGGGGCTTCTGAGGGCGGATAGGGATTTGACGAGGGGCCTGACGGATGCGATGAAGGGCGTGGTGGGGTTGTCCTCGGACGACATGGACGTGTATCTGCTAAGGGATGTGCACGTGCTCTCCATCCAGGCGGACCGGCGCAGCGGCGTCTACTTTCTCATTGACTTCCTCGAGCCGCCCATGCCACGCAGCCGGCAAACTCGTGACAGGTAAAGCTCTGGTTGTGTGAGCAAGGAAGGCTTGCTCTTAACCCGGCCAGCCAGCCGAACTTGTGTGGCGGGACAGTCGCAATGCTTGTGATGGAGATGCTTGTGATGGAGATGCTTGTGATGGAGCTGCTTGTGATGGAGATGCTTGTGATGGAGCTGCTTGTGATGGAGCTGCTTGTGATGGAGCTGCTTGTGATGGAGCTGCTTGTGATGGAGCTGCTTGTGATCGAGCTGCTTGTGATGGAGCTGCTTGTGATGGAGATGCTTGTGATGGAGCTGCTTGTGATGGAGCTGCTTGTGATGGAGCTGCTTGTGATGGAGCTGCTTGTGATGGAGCTGCTTGTGATGGAGCTGCTTGTGATGGAGCTGCTTGTGATGGAGAAGGAGTATTCTGCTCAGCAGGCATGCAGCTCATAGTATGCTGCAAAATAGCCTCTTTCCATAATTTCTTGCTGATAGTGTGTGTGTGTGTGTATCCGGTTGTCCCCTCGATCACAATCAGGGTTGAGTTCTGGGAGAACACGCGGAGGCTGCAGAACGGCGCCCTGGTGTGGATCCGAGACATGCAGCCAAGCCCCACTCACCTCCACACCCACACTCAACGCACTCACATGCAGCAACTACTATTGCAGCAGCAGCAGCTGCGAGTGCCACTTCAGTCACCCCATGCAAGAGACACGCCAGCAGCAAGTGACGCTTCCTCCCACCGCCTCATCTTCGCCACCATCACAGCTCGAGACACAAAGAAGCTCGCTGCTGCCCAGCCGCAGATTGGCGTGCAACCATGCGGGGGGAACGGGTTCAGTGCGGACCTGCTGGGGCTGATCGCTCAGGGCAGCAGTCAGGCCACGCAGGTGGTGATGCTGGAGGCGCATGGCAGCTTCTTCGCGTATGAGCCCATTCTGAAGGCGCTGCAGGGCATTTCTGAGGCGTCGCTGCCCTTCGCCGAGTACATCTGTGGGGTCCCTGACGGGGCACCCTGGAGGGGGCCTGGGAGGGCCCCTGGAGCGTGCAAGCTGCCTGCATACATCCGAGGGGACATTGATAGAATTGGAACTTAACTGATTGATTGATAAGGAAGGCACGAGGCCTTAAGTACAAACACGGTTGGGTTGAGCAAAGCTAGGGAAAGGATGGGATGGGAATCCTAGCAAATCTCCAATTGGTGAGTTGGCAGATTTGCAGGATTACGAGGGAATCCCAACCAGATAGGGTTGGGATTACAAATCTACACCCAACCTACAAAGTAACCTAACCGATATAGAATATAGTACAAAGTGTTGACTGACTATTTCTAACACACCCCCTAGGTTGCCTGCATACAGCTCTGCCTCACAGGTCGACAGTGAGACGGAAGACGACCGAGTGGAGCGCCAACTGACAACCCCACTGCCAAGGGTAAAGCAATACCCTTGGGAAGAGCGCCGATAACTCTGGTCATCAGCATAGGACGAGTCACTGTACCCCTCAAGGCGAACAGGGGAAGAGCCGCCAAGAGTGAGCACATAGTCCTGTGTGCCTTTGAGATAGCGGAGGACCCGCTTGGCGGCAGACCAGTGGTGGCTCGTGAAGCGACCAGGTGCAACGTAGCGAGACAAGACACTGACTGGATAGGCCAAGTCTGGTCGAGTGCACATCATCGCGTACATGAGGGAACCAACGAGCTCGGGGTAAGCCTCATCGCAGGGCTCAGGTGAGGGAACAGAGGGTGCAGTGAGTTGGTGCTGCAGAGAGAGTGGGGTGGGCATTGAAGCTGCTTCCTGCATCTTGAACCTTGTCAGAACGTTGTTGATGTAGAACTTCTGCGAGAGGGTGATGGTGCGGGCCGTGCGATCACGTGTGATTTCCATGCCCAGATAGTTCGTCAGCTTCCCAAGATCCTTCATGGCCAGCTTCTCACCAAGTGCGGCTTTGACTGCTGCCAGCTCAGTCTGATCCTTGGTGACAAGGATCATGTCATCGACATAAACCAAGATGAAGAAACGGGATGGTGTTGCTCGAATGAAGAGGCTGGGGTCAGAGGTGGATGGGTGAAAGTCGAGGGACCCTAAGGTGCTCTTGAGTTTGTTGTGCCATTCCTGGGGTGCTTGCTTGAGGCCATATACTGGTCGATTCAGCTTCCATACAGTGCCTGGTGGAAAAGGAGCTGGAAATCCTTCGGGCCGCTCCATGTAGATTTCCTCTCGAAGGATCCCTTGCAGAAACGCAGAAGACACATCCATGCAGTCAACCTCCATGTCATCTCGAGCGGCCACATCGAGAAGGGTGCGCAGTGTGGGAGGTTTGGCAGTGGGAGAGAATGTCTCAAAGAAGTCCAGTCCACGCTTTTGGGTAAATCCCTTGGCACAGTACCGGGCTTTGAAGACAGGAAATTCGCCTGGAAGTTGTTTCACCCGGAAAACCCATTTTCCCTTCACAATGTTGACGCCGGAGGGAGGAATGATATCTGTGAAAGTCCCTGTGTGAATGAAGGCCTCACACTCTGCGATAATGGCCCCTATCCACTGAGCGGAGTTAGGACCAGAAACTGCTTCAGCATAGGTGAGAGGTGTGGGGATGGAGGGGTTGTCTGAGAAGTTGAGGGTGGGAGATTCTGCGATATCTGGAAAGAGAGAGCAGAGCGCGTGTATGGCTGAGTCAATGTCAATCAGCTCCTCATGTCTGTCCTCAAGAAGGGAGGGCATGAGCGAATAATCACCCCCGATAGGAGGAGGATTGAGAGAGACACGAATGGAAAGGGAAAGAGGCTTGGGAGCTTTGTGCGAGCGGGTGCGACCAGCGATGGGGGAGGGAGGCGGAGCTGGAGGAGGAGAAGCAGGAGGTGTAGTGGCAGCATCAGGAGCAGCAGCTGAGTCGGGAGCAGGAGCCAGATCAGGAGTAGGAGGTGGAGCAGGAGCAGGAGCAGGAGGACGGCGTTGGTAGGTTTTGAGAGGAATGGACTCGGGGGCGGGAAGGAGCGGGGGAGACTGCGTGGTGCTGGATGGGGAAGCGGGTGACGGGGGGTCGAAAACTGTGGAGGGAGCGGGAAGAGGAGGAGATGGAGTGGTGGCAGGAGGAAGGATGTCAAAGTCAGCCCATGTTAGAGAAAGAGGAGGAGGAGAAGGAGAAACTGTGGAGGAGGGGTAGAATGGGTGGGATTCATCGAAGAAAACATCTCGGCTGCGATAGAGTTTGTTGGTGGTAGGATGGAGGAAGAGGTAGTCTGGTGAGTCCAAGTTGTGCCCGAGGTACACGCACGTGATTGTTTTCGGAGCAAGCTTGCCGCCAGCTGCACGACGGGCTTGGGAGTTGAGGAGGACATAGGAGGTGCACCCCCATACACGAAGAGGGCGGACGGACGGCTTTTGACCCGTCCACAGCTCTGCGGGGGTGGTGTGGGTGTGGTGAGGATGAGGATGGAGATTGTGGAGGGCGGCAGCATGGAGCATGGCGTATCCCCAAAGAGAGGGAGGGGCGGAAGAATGAGTGAGGAGGCAGCGAGCAATCTGCACCAGGATGCGGTTTCGGCTTTCAGCAACACCGTTCTGTTGAGGGCTGTCTGGGAGAGTGAAGGTCTGTTGGATACCCTCAGTAGAGCAGAAAGCTTTGAGAGTCTTGTTGCGGAATTCACCGCCACCGTCAGAGTGAAGAAACTTGATTTTGGTTTTGAAGTGTGAATGAGCCTGCCTGGCCCATTCCATGATGATGGCTGGGGCTTCAGACTTGGCGGTGAGAAGGTGAATGGACACATAGCGGGAATAGTCATCAACGATGACAAGGAAGTAGAAGTGTCCGCCACGGGAACGAACAGGAGCTGGACCCCAAAGGTCCATGTGTACGCGATCGAGAGGTGCGGTAGAGATGGACTCAGTGGGAGGATGGGGCTGTTCCCGAAGCTTGCTCTGTGCACAGTCAAGGCAAGGCGGTCCAGAAAGAGAGGGGGGTTGTGGAAGTGTGGCGGGCAGTCCATGTAGGAGTTGCTTGGTGGCAAGGTCGGAAAGTGCGCGGAAGTTGATGTGGCCGAGGCGGTTATGAAATAGCATAGTCTTGTCAGTGAGGAGGCGGCAGTGACATGAGGGGGAGTCTGAGGATGGAAGCGGAAGGTTGGTGAGGGAGCATGTTTGAACGGGAGGTACAACTAGTGTGTACAGGTTGTTGGAGTTGAGGGTGAAGCGGGCAAGATGGAGTCCGGTTTTGGCGTCAAACATGTCACAGTAGTCAACATCATTGGGAAAGATGGTGATCACGCCTGCGTGTTGGATTTCCCGCTGTGCAAGAAGGTTGTAGCGGAGGGTTGGGGCACAGATGCCAGTGACGGTGCCAGATGGGAATGCTGGACAGGAAACTGTGGAGGAGCCATGGCATTGGATGGAGAAGCTAGAATCTGCTCCAAGGAGTGAGGTGGGAGCCTGATAGGGAACGAAGGCGGTTTGGTCTTTAAGCACTGTGTGGGTGGCACCACTGTCTAGTATGAACTCGATTCCCTGTGTGGTTGAAACACCGATGTACTGCGACCCCTTCTCATTAATAAGACCAGCACCAGAGAACAACAGGTTAAGGCGAACATCAGATGGGGCGCTAGCAAATGCCTGAGCAGGTTCCTCCAATGCCTCGACCTGGTTCACGCGACGGGGTGGTGCCCAGTTGGGAGGGCGCTTGTCCTTGGAGACACCATGGACGTCATACCACTCGTCATCTCGCTTCTTGAAGCAAGTGGCCTCAGGGTGGTTGGTGCCGTTGCATTTCTGCCCCGCACGTGGACCCTTCCTAATGAGGTACTGGCATGGGGGAAAGGAGTTGCGCCTCTGGCCCTGCTGGGAACGGAATGGAATGCCAGGGGAGTAGCGCACAGCATTGACTGATGCCTGAGCTGCAAGGTCCTTTTCCGCAGAGAGAAGGGCCGAAGCGACTTTCTCGAAGGTGAGTTCCTTGGTGGGGAGCTGCTTGAGCATGGAACTGGTGACGTTGTAGGCCGGGGTGAGTCCGACGAGAAGCCCAGCAGCAGGTGCCTGTTCGGGGAAGGTGATCCCAATGTCCTTGAGCTCCTCATGGATGTTGCGGATTTCAGAGATGTAATCTGCCATGCCCGGGCATTCCTCAAGGCGGATTTGGAACATGCGAGGAATGAGGATTGCAACTCCCACGGCAGTTTTGTCATGAAAACGATCCTGGAGGTACTTCCAAATGTCATGCGCAGAGCGGAAGGTGCGGTAGGACTTGACTAACTCAACTGGGGTGGTGGTGATGAAAACCCTAATCACTGCCGCATCCGCCTGCTCCCAGAGACTGAAGTCCGTCTCATACTTGGTGGTCTTAGCATCGAAAGCGCTCTTGGCTGTGGGAGTGGCGCCTTCACCGAGAGGATCGGGAGGGAGAGGCATCTTCCCCTTGCCACGGTTGAGGAGGATGTCCTTGAGACAAATCCCCTTGAGCTCCGAGCTAAGGAGGTGCTTCTCCACTCCATAGCACCACTCCCCGAAATTGGTGCTCGTGTCGTTGGGAGCGAGGTTAAGGATGATGAGGTTTTCGACGAGAGTGGAAGTAGAAGTTGCCATTTCGCGCGGAGCGCAGCGCTAAAGTCTCCGATTTCGGCAATTTTGGCGATTTTGGAATTTGAGGAAGTACGAAACGCGATTTCGGCAATAGAATGCCCGTAAAATACCCTGTTATACTGCTTCGTCGATGCCCCCTGTTCTGCTTCGCTGCTGCCCCTGTTCCGCTTCTCTGCTGCGCCGCTGACCTGTTCTGCTGCGCCGCTGACCTGTTCTGCTGCGCCGCTGACCTGTTCTGCTGCGCCGCTGACCTGTTCTGCTGCGCCGCTGACCTGTTCTGCTGCGCCGCTGAACCTGTTCTGCTGCGCCGCTGAACCTGTTCTGCTGCGCCGCTGAACCTTTTCTGCTGCGCCGCTGAACCTGTTCTGCTGCGCCGCTGAACCTGTTCCGCTGCGCCGCTGAAAACCTGTTCCGCTGCGCCGCTGGACCTGTTCCGCTGCGCCGCTGAAAACCTGTTCCGCTGCGCCGCTGGACCTGTTCCGCTGCGCCGCTGAAAACCTGTTCCAAGTTAAGAAGATGCGAAAATTTCGACGGAGATTTGAAAAACCAGAGGCTTACGATGAAGGAAGTCGAAAGCTGAAAATGTCGCCGTTGAAAAACGAGAAGCGTGATGAAGGAAGCCGAATGCGTGCTTGACCGGAGCGACGATGTGAAGTTTCTGAAATACGCTAAGCGTAGGAGCCGGGAGCCGAAATAGGCATAGCCTAGAAGGAGAGAACCATCGGGACGCCAAGGATCGGATTCCGCGTGAGCGGAATTTACTAGCTCTGATACCATGATAGAATTGGAACTTAACTGATTGATTGATAAGGAAGGCACGAGGCCTTAAGTACAAACACGGTTGGGTTGAGCAAAGCTAGGGAAAGGATGGGATGGGAATCCTAGCAAATCTCCAATTGGTGAGTTGGCAGATTTGCAGGATTACGAGGGAATCCCAACCAGATAGGGTTGGGATTACAAATCTACACCCAACCTACAAAGTAACCTAACCGATATAGAATATAGTACAAAGTGTTGACTGACTATTTCTAACAGACATGAGGTGGGTGCGATGGGGTGGGGGAGAAAGAAAAGTGGATAAAAGAGGAGAGGGTGGGGAAAGGAAGAGGAGGGGACAGAAGGTCCAACCAATGTATGTATCTGCTGGAGGATAAAGCATTTTTTGTTTCCTCCCTTCCTCTCCCTCCCTTCCTTGCAGGTACCACTTGAGCCTGCTGCTCAAGACTAAGGGATCATCCACCTCCCAGCAGGCACAGACCAGCCCTCAGATTGCACGAGAGGACGAGTTAGCGATGAGCAACGTGATGATCGCCAGCCTGTGTTGTGTGTTTCCTTGGCAGGTACGACTTGAGCCTGCTGCTCAAGACCAAGGCCCAGCAAACACAGATCGCACCGGAGGACGAGTATGCCATAAGCAACGTGGCGATCGCCAGCCCCACCGCATTCCCCATGGATACCATCTTGCGCTGCACGTCGCTGGACCTGCCCCAAACTGCGGCGCTCCATGCTGCCCTCACTCAGGAGTTCGCTCTGCTGCAGGGCCCTCCAGGAACTGGCAAGGTGCGTGAGCTGAAGGCCCGTCTCTCGCTCTCGCTTCTGAACATCACGCCGGAAGAAATTAAGCTACTTCTGTCCCTTTGAGTAACAGGGATGGTGTGGTGTGTTCCATGGCAGACGTTCGTGGGGATAAAGCTGGTGGAGATTCTGCTGAGCAATGCGTTCAAGGGCACCTCTGAGGGGCATGTGTCTCGAGGCAGGGAGGCGGGCAGTGCCATGGGGCCCATCCTGTGCGTGTGCTTCACCAACCATGCTCTGGATCAGTTCCTGGAAGGCATCATTGCCAGCGGCATCAAGAACGTGAGTCGATTGATTGCTGCACCAACACACTGTTCGGTTGTGTGCAAAACAAAAACAAAGTTCATTACTTGAGGCAGAGAGGTCCGGAGATGGCATCAAGAGCGTGAATTTAGAATGAGTGCCACATGTCTTTCACCGAACGGTTAGGAGTTATTTCCTGAGCGTCTGTTGTGGTTCTTGGCGTAACGTGGGTTCTGTAGCTCGTGCTGGGGTCACTGGCATGTCGCTTCTACCACCCTCTGTGATTTCGTGCAGTGTCCTTGGCTGAAACTCTGGCTGTAGATCTTATGTGTTACACAGGATGTGTGGTTCTTACATGTGTGGTTCTTGTCGTGCCATGCGTCATGGGCAGGTGGTGCGAGTGGGAGGAAGGTGCAAGTCGGAGGTACTGCAGGAGCACAACCTCCCCAACATCATTCGCAGCTGCACTGTGGAGCGCAGCCCAGGTGCGCACCACAGCACAGCACTGATTTGAAACTGAGATGGATGTTCGAGATCTTGAGACGCAATGGAAACTTGTAATAGAGCAACTTGGGTTGTGAAAATGATGAGTCATTTCCAGTATCTTAACAAGTCATGTATGCGGGGTCTTGTGTGTGTGTGTGTGTGTATGTGTGTGTGAGTATGTGTATGCTTATGTGTGTGTGTGCGTGCGCACGTGAGTGTGTGTGTGGATGCGCACATGAGTGTGTGTGTGTGTGTGCGTGTTTGTATGTGCGCGTGTGTGTGTGCGTGTGTGTGTGTGTTCTTGTCTGTGTGCGTGCGTGTGTGTGTGCGCGCGCGCGCGCGCGTGTGTGTGTGTGTATGTGCGTGCGTCTCTGTGTGTGAGCAGCATACCGGCGCTCAAACTACGAGGTGAACAGCAAGCTGGGCGAGGTGGAGGAGGTGATCAGCACGTACAGCGATGCTCTGCAGCAGCGCACCAGCAACACAGCAGCCGTCACGTGGCGCTCCATCACCGCCCACCTCATGGCCAACCACCCTGTTTTCTTCCTCGCGCTCCGCCCCACCACCACGGTAGACAGCGACGGGTTTCAGGTGCGTGGAAAGGTGGATAAAGAAAAGGGTGCATGTGTGCGTGAGTAGAGTGTGTTTTGAGTCGGCGAAATACACCTGATGGCCAGCCATCCTGTTCTCTTCCATCCTCGCGCTGCATGGCACCAGCTCGGCAGGCAACGACGGGGTCGAGGTAAGTGGGTGGGTGGAAGAGCGGACGGGTGCATTCCAAGTCTACCCCCGATACACCTCCCTGGCCATCCAACCTGTGTGACAACTGACGATGCGAGGGAGGGTGTAGTTGCAAATCACCCCTATTTGGAATCACCTCGCTGGTTGTCGTTCTGGGTTTCTCTTCCTTCAGTTTTTCTTTTGGAGAAACAAAGCTACCCACTCGTGGACGTGTCGTTATTCTGCTCCTGCGACAAATACCGCCCCAAATTACTCTTGATTTCCTGCCTTATTCTGGCAGGATATGGGTTGTGGCAAGTGAATCCATTGTGCTCATTTCCTTTAGAACGTGCATTGTCTTTAGAAATCGGAACATTTCTTTTCATGGACATGTCAAAACATGAGGCCTCCCCTGGTTCCTTTCCTGCCCACCGCACCGCTGCTCGTGGCTCTGTTCCCTTGGCTATTCACTTACCAGCACGTGGGTCAAAGCAACTGGACCCGGTGGAAGCGAGGCCTTGCTGCGTCAAGAGGAGGGAGGGAAGGTAGAGTGCCAAGAGGGACAGGAGGGACAGGAGGGGCAGGAGAGCTGGGTTTGGAGGAGGAGGACCTCTCCCATGCGTTTGACGACCTGGGCGTTCACCACTGCATGCGAGGCCCAGGCACTGATGAACCGCACGGTGGTCCTGGCAGCTGGAGAAATGATAGAAATCAAGGCAGCCGGGGGAACCAAACCAGCAGGGGGGATGAGGGCAGCAGGCAAGCGCACGGGAGCATGGGGGGCGATGAGGAGGAGGGTGAAGGGGAGGGGGAGGAGGAGGAGTGGGTGGGAACGGAGGTGGATGAGGCGAGTGACCGGGAGGTGGGGGAGCTTCTCAGGGTGGCGGACCCGTGGGCAACGAGTGGGCGGGAGAGGCGGAAGCTGGTGGCGGTGTGGGTGGGGGAGGTGCGAGCCACTGCTGCTGCTGCCATCGAGGCCGAGGTGGACAAGTATGCCAGGTATGGCCCGTGCTGGTGCTGGTGTGAAGGCAGGTGGTGTGGTGTGAAGGGCGGTGCTGGTGGTGTGAAGGGCGGTGCTGGTGGTGTGAAGGGCGGTGCTGGTGGTGAGTGTAGGCTGCGTAGTGGCCGGCCCGTGATGATGAAGGTAGGCAACGGTTCCAACAGGGGAGGTGCGCGCCTCTATTAAGGGACAGGTTGAAAGTTTGTGACTTTGTGGTGGTGCTGGTGTTGAAGCTAGGTGATAGAGTTGGGAGGACGATGTTTCTTGTGTGTGCCTGGCTTGTTACCGTGCGCTTCCTGCTTGCATGTGACTTGCTTCCATGTGTGATTGAGCATGCAGGAAGGTGAGGGAGCGCAGTGAAGTGCAGCATGTGGTGGGTATGACCTGCAAGCTTGTCCCACACAGCAAACCACTAAGCTCTTCTGCTTGTGCATTTGCCTTCTGCGTCTGCATCTGGTGTGTGCAGGAAGGTGAGGGAGCGCAGTGAGCTACAGCAGGTGGAGGACCTACAGGTGCCGAGGAGGGCGCAGGTGGTGGGCATGACCACGTCCGGGGTGGCCAAGATGCAGCGCCTCATTACGGCACTCGGCCCACGAGTCATTATCGTGGAGGAGGCTGCAGAGGTGCTGGAGGCGCACATCCTCACGTCGCTCACCCCGCAGACCCAGCACGTCATTCTCATAGGTATGCCGTGGGCTGCTCGTGTGGTCGCGGTTGGGTTGGGTTTGAGGTTGGGTTTGAGGTTGGGTTTGAGGTTGGGTTGTGGCTGCATGCACGCTGTCATCATTGTGGAGGAGGCAGGTGAGGTGCTGGAATCTCACATCTCACATCTCACATCTCACATCTCACGTCCCTTACCCCGCACACACACCACATCATCCTCATAGGTAAGCCTTGGGCAGCTGGTGTGGCTGGCCATGGTCGAGTTAGCAGTTGCACATTACTATCAGTGGATTCTCTTACCAACAACAGGCTTCCTCCTGCAACTTCCTCTCATTTTCTTCCACTCTTCTTTGATTCTTCGTTCTGAAATGGATTGGCAGGCGATCACCTGCAGCTGCGGCCCAAGGTGGAAGTCACGAGCTGAGCAAGGACTCCTTTGTTCGTCGCTCCATCACTTTACTAATTCCATTTGCCTCTACTATTCCTCTCTGGAATACGACAGGCGACCACAAGCAGCTGCAGCCACCGCCAAAAGTGGAGGTGTAGGAGCTGAGAGCAGGCTCACCCGACCCCCATTCATCCCCTACCCATTCTTGTGCCCCACTCGGCCCCACCATTCTTTCAGGCGACCACAAGCAGCTGCGGCCCAAGGTGGAGGTGTACGAGCTGAGCAAGGACTCCCACAAGGGCTTCGACCTGGACGTCTCTCTCTTTGAGCGCCTCGCGCTCTCCCGCCAGATCCCCGTCTACACCCTCGCCACGCAGCGCCGCATGCGCCCGGAAATCGCCGACCTTGTTCGCTATACCATTTACCCGGACCTGAGGGACCACCCGTTCGTGCAAGGGTATGCATGTAGCATGCATGCGCATGTGCCTCTCGTCTGTGTGCTGTCACATCAGCTTTCACGTAACTGATATGACCTGATCCGTTACACCATCTATCCTGATCTGAGGGACATTATGCACCGCATGCGGGGTGGTCCCTCAGTTCATGGCACATCGACCTTGTTGCCATGTACCGTTACTCCTCTTTCTTCATCACAGCACGTGCGTGGCATGGTGCTTCCTCCACCCACATATAAACAACCATTCGCCCGTGCATCCATCCCCTCTCAACCTCACTCAGGTACCCAGACGTGCGGGGCATGGCAGTCAATCTGCACTTCTGGGACCACGACAGCCCTGAGAGCGGCCGGGACGACCCGGATGGAGGCAAGTCCAAGTCCAACGCAGGGGAAGCAGCCATGGTGGTGGCCCTCGCCACGTACCTGCTGCAGCAGGGGTACGCAGGAGGAGAAATCACCATCCTCACGCCCTACGTGGGTCAGCTGCTGAAGCTGCGCCAGGCGCTTTCCCAGGTGGTGGATGTGCGCCTGGGGGAGGGCGATGCTGAGGAGGTGGAGAAGGTAGAGGACAAGGCGGGTACTGGGGGAGGTGGAGCTGGGGGAAGGGAGGCTGATGGGGAGGCTGCGGGGGCTGAGGTGGGGAAGGGGAAAGGACTGGGGCTGGAGCTTGCTGCACCGAAGGCGACCATGGCGAATCTGAAGGATGCAGTGCGGCTGGCAACTGTCGACAAGTAGGTTTGGCCGATGGAAAGAGGAGATACTTGTTTCCTTGTGTGAGGTGCCTTGCTCGTGTGGAATAACAGTTTAGTTCTATTCTAACACATTTCGAGGTTATTTGTGTGCGTGCAGTTTCGTGGGCGACAAGAGCACGCTGATTACAATTTCTGTGCGGTCTTGCTTGCCCAAACGGATATTAAAAAACTTTCGCTTCACCTTTTCTGGTTATTTTCTTGATCGAGCTCATAATCCTTTTCCCCTCATTTCATGGATGGATGGGGTGTGCAGTTTCCAGGGCGAGGAGAGCACGGTGATCATCATCTCCCTCGTGCGCCACAAGCCGGACGGCGACATTGGATTCCTCAAGAGCCCCAATCGCACCAACGTGCTGCTCTCCCGCGCCAAGCACGGCATGTACATCATCGGTGCATGTGGCATGTGGGTAGCTGGTGAGTGCATGGCATGTGTATTTGTTGGTGTATGCATGGCATGGCGTGTGTATCATTCCAAAGAGGTTGCATACATGATGTTCTGTGTGACTGGGAACCATCGACATGCTGCAGAGCAGAGACGATCTGACTGTTGCGTGTGGGATGTTCACACATGCTGACACAGGGACACACGTCTAGATCGCAAACTTACACTCCATTCCCCTTCCCTCCTTGTCTCTTCTTCCTGCAAATCCTCTATTCGAGAGCAGGCAACGCCAGCAGCATGTGTGCATGTACCTCCAAGGCCTCACTGTGGCCGCAGATCATGGGCATGCTGGACAGCCGGGCGCGCGTGCAGAGGTTCATCCCGCTGCGCTGTGCGAGCCACCCCGACACGGTGACGCACATCCAAGGCACGGGGGAGTTCAAGGAGAAGGCCAGTGAGGGCGGCTGCTCGCAGATGTGCAGCTTCCGACTCACTCCCTGTGGCCACACCTGCCCCCGCAGGTCAGAATTGAACCATGATGTTCCGTGCATTATCATTGTATCAACTTCGTCTCTGTATTAGCATCCTGGTCTCTTAGCTCTCATGTTGCGTCCTCCCTTTCCATGTTCTCCACATTCATTGTTTCCTAAATTTGCCCCCCTAAGAGGCACGTCAAGGAGGCAAAGGCTCTCTTCTGCCTTCCTTCACTTAACAGGTGCCACGCCGACGATAGCACACACACCGACTTGTTCTGGCGCAAGGAGGGCAACTGACAGAAGCCAGCCTCTGCAGGAGTGGCCACACCAGCACAAGTGCTCTGCAAACATCACAACAACACCCCTCCGTTTTCACCTTCACCCACAGGTGCCATGCGGACGACAGGGCACACGCCACCACGTTTTGCGCCAAGGAGTGCAACCGCATCCGCCCACTGGACGAGTGCCCTCATCAGCACACGTGCCCCAAGCAGTGTGGCGAGAACTGTGGGCCCTGCATGGTCACCATTAGGGAGGTCACTCTCCCGTGCGGCCATCAGGCCTCCAGCGTCCCCTGCTTCAAGGCACAAAAGCCCTCTTCCATCTACTGCTGGTGGGTTCTTCTTTTCGCACCTGGATGCGTTTCACACTAGGCAAGCTAAATGTCAGGATTTTCCTTTCCACGCCCTTGCCTTCCTCCCACCCTTCCCTGCCTGTCTTTTCGCCCTTGCATACCTGCCGGCCTTTGCCTGTCTCCCGCCATTGACTCTTTTCGTGCGTTGCCTTTTCCCTGGCTATGCCTTTTCCCTGCCGTGCCGCTTTCCTGCCCGTACCCCTTCCTGCCCGTACCCCTTCCCGCCCGTACCCCTTCCTCCCCGTGCCCGTGCCATGTACTTCCATGAGTGCCTTGTATGGCTGGCTTGTCTCACCTGCCTGCCCTCTCACCCATTCCCACCTGCTCTGGTCGCCGTTCTATCTCGTATTCGCTTCTCTATTGCAATCTGATCCGTCGCATTCAACGGTTTCAGTGCTTGACGCTTCACTTGCAGATGCTGCTCTTGGTCCCACACCCCCCTCATGACCTCCCTTGTCCCTTCGCCCCCTCTACTTCCTATGGCGGCAGGAAAACGGTGGAAGTCACCATGCCGCTGTGCGGCCACAGGCAGCAAGTCATGTGTGGCGAGGCGGCCACCACACTCACCAGCCCCAAGCGCTGCACCGCGCGCTGCGGAACTCTCCTCTCAGACTCCTGCGGCCACGCCTGTCGCTCCCTCTGTGGCCAGTGCATCGTTGCTCCAGATGCTAACACAGACCATGGCCTGGGCTTGCAGCAGCACCAGCAGCGGTTGGAGAGAAAGCACAAGGAATGCACGCAGCCATGCAAACGCGACCTCCCCTGCGGCCACCTCTGCCCGGACCCCTGCCACCTCGGCAAACCCTGCAAGCCCTGCACCAAGAGGTGCCTCGTGACCTGTCAACACAGCTCCTGCCCCCAACCCTGCCACCGGACCTGCTCTGCCTGCGCCGAGCCTTGTGGGTGGAGCTGCAGGCACCAGGGACGGTGCTCCCTGCCCTGCGGTGCCCCCTGCAACCGCCTCCCGTGCGACCAGCGGTGTGACAAAAGGCTCTCGTGCGGCCACCAATGCCCGTCTCTCTGTGGCGAGAAGTGCCCTTCTCAGGCGTTTTGCACGGTTGAAGGGTGTGGGTCGAAGAAGAAGAGGGAGATGAGGGTGGATCTAATTACATGGGAGACGCTGGGGGAGATTGATCCCAACGACAGCCCTTTGCTTGTGCTGCCATGCAAACATCCTTTCACTGTCGATTCCCTCGACGGCTACCTGGGGCTCAGCCAGGTCTACCAGGAGTCAAAAGGTGCTTCTGGTGGCTGCAGTGCGGTTGGAGGCGGTACGGACGCATCGGCAGGCAAGTGGGTGGCGGTGCGGCCTTTTGGCGATGCCAATCTGGCCGCCCTCAAGAGCTGCCCGGACTGCCGCCAGCCCATCACAGGGCTGCGCCGGTATGGCAGGATGGTGAACAGGGCTCTGCTGGACGAGTCAGAGCGCAAGTTCGCCCTCAGCTGCATGGCCGACCAGCAGCAGCTCCAGCACAAGCTGTCCACGCTGAGCCAAGCTCTGTCTGCATGTCCAGAGGCTGCTCCCTCCAGGCAGCTGGAGGAGCTGTCGCAGGCTGCGACTGTCCTTGTGGCGGAGGCAAGCAAGGTGCGACGCACTGCATTGGATCCGCCCACCCAGCAGGCCTACCAGGCTTCTGTAGCTGCGCTGCAGAGAAAGCACCTCCGGTTGGGATCATTGTCGTTCAGAGCAGCACGGTTGCCTGCAGATTCGCCTGCACGTTCGCATGTGTCAGCATGGGAGGAGGAGTGCCAGCTGCTGTATGTCCCCCAGCCAGACCCCTGGCCTCTCTGTGAGGCGCTCATGCTGCTGGGGAAGGCCTACCAGTTGCTTATGACTGCGAATTTCCTCCACCTGCGCTGCCTGCTGAGAGAACTCCGCGATGTGGCTGGTCGGACTGACAAGAACAGTACAGTTAGAGCAACCTCTTTGGCCCAGCGGGTGGGGGATTGCAGGGAGGTTGTGCGTAACGCGCTGGGGGATGCAGAGAGGCATGTGGGGGAGGCGGTGGAGTGGGCTGGCAGGCGCAAGGCGCCTACCTGAAGGCAAGGGGGAGGCTGGAGATGGTTGATGTGCTCCGAGCGTTCGTGGAAGGCATGATGGTGGAACGCCTCCTCTCAACCTCCCCTGCTGGTCTTGTAGGTTCCCCCTTTTCTCTCTCTCATCCCCTCCCTCCCATATCTCTGCCTCCCCTCCCCATTCTGCCCTTTATATGGTTTCCTTTGTTTGCTTGTTATTTTTCTTCTCTGAATGTATTTCTTTCCCCACTTGTGGGCTTGATGACTCATGGTGGTTCACATGTGTCCTCTGATGGCAGCATGCGCCAAAGGAACAGCAGCTGGAGTATCTCAAGAGGGCCAAGACCCAGTGCCACATCGTGCTAGAACATCAGCTAACATCAGACACAAAGGACGACGACCTTGTGCTGAGCGCTCGGAAAATGCTGGGGGACTTGCGTGATTTGGAAGCATCTGTTCGCGACAGCCCTCGGTACTTTGCGGTGACCGAACGCGAGAAGGCTGATGTATTTAAGGCGATAGGTCTGGGAGGGGGTCATTGGTACCGGTGCAGCAATGGGCATGTGTATGCAATTGGGGAGTGTGGCGGGGCAATGGAGGAGTCGAGCTGCCCTGAGTGTGGAGCGGTGGTGGGTGGAACGGACCATACGCTCAGAGAAGGTAACGATAGGGCCACTGGCTTCTTCAACTAGGCTTGATTGAAGCTATGGGCTTGGGAGGGAACCATTGGTATTGATGCTGCAATGCAAGGCCCTCATATCGTCTAAGGGTTGCGGAGCTAAGTGCTCGAATCACCTAATTACCCGATTCTTGATGTAAACAATATGTTCGTGCAGGGCCTCATATTGATTTTAGGGTACCTTGTGTCAAAATGTTATGATGCTTATATTGTGTAGGCTGTAGTGGGGTAGCCCATAAGGGGTACAACCTAATTAGGGTTAGTACTTGTACCCACTTTGATCTTACTTCATCCATTCTCGTTCAGTATTCTGACATGGTTTCAGAGCAGGACCGTTTTTTGTTTTTTAAGGCCCACCGAATAGTTCCCTGCCCGTAGCGCGTTACCCTGCCCGTAGCGCGTTACCCTGCTCGTAGCTCCCTACCCTGCCAGTCGCGCTGCCCCACCAGTCGCGCCGCCCTGCTGGCCACGCGCCGCCCTGCTAACTGCCGCGCCGCCCTGGCCTGCCCGTCACGCCGCCCTGCTGGCTGCCGTGCCGCCCTGCCCTGCCTGTCGCCCTGCCCTGCTGGCCGCGCGCTGCCCTGCCCTGCCCGCGCGCCACCCTGCTGGCCGCCGCGCCGTCCTGCCCTGCCCGCGCGCCGCCCTGATTGCCGCCGCGCTGCCCTGCCCTGCCCGCGCGCCGCCCTGCTGGCCGCCGCGCCGCCCTGCCCTGCCCGCGCGCCGCCCTGCTGGCTGCCGCGTTGCCCTCCCCTGCCCGCGCGCCGCCCTGCTGGCCGCCGCGCTGCCCTGCCCTGCCTACGCGCTGCCCTGCACTAGCCGCGCGCTGCCCTCTCCTGGCCGTTCGCCGCCCCACCCTCCCCTGCGCGCTTCCCTAGTACCCGCGCGCCGCCCTGCCCGTCGCGCCGTCCTGCTGCCTGCGCGCCGCCCTGCCTTGCCTCCGTGCTGCCCTACTCGCCGCGTGCCAACCTGCTGTGCCCGCTATGGCTTCTTTCAGTGTTCTCACCTTCGATCCTGAGGGCCGTCCGATCCAGTTTGAGACCTGGCTAGACGACTTACAGCTGTGCCTACAGAGCGAGTCTAGGGACGGCGTTTGACCACACGTCTGGGACCTCTCTCGCTCCTCCCGAGACAGCTGACAGTGCGACTCGCTCACAGTGGCTTACCCGTGACGCTACTGCTCGCCTAGCCGTTCGCAACCACCTGCCGTTAGCCGAACGCGCGCACTTTGGCCAGCACAATACTGCTAAAGCACTGTTCGATGCTGTAGTCGCTCGTTACTCCTCCCCTGCCACTGCTGCTCTCGGCCGACTTATCCTGCCCTACCTTTTTCCCGAGCTGTCAGCCTTTCCCACAGTCGACGACCTCATCACCCACCTTCGCACTAGCGACACTCGCTACCGCGCCACGCTTAAAACCAAGTTTCCATATAAGAACCCCCCCCCCCCCCATGTACATCACTCTCTACTTCATCGTCACCCGCCTCCCCGAATCTCTTAGCGCAGTCAGGGACCTCCTTCTCGCCCTTGACCACACGGACCTCACTGTCGACCTGCTCGAGAAGCACCTCCTTGCAGCTGAGACTAGCATAGTCGCCGTAGGTGCTGCTCGTGGCACTCCTCGCACTCCCTTCTTTGAGGGTGTTCCCCCTCCCCCCTTGCCCCCACTTTCGCCTCTGCTGCTGCTGTTGACTTCCTTCGTGATGAGGTGGTCGGGGCTGCGTCTGCTCCTAGTGGGAGGCGCCACATCCGCAAGGGCAAGGGAGGCAAGAGTGGTGGGGGTGGCAGCGGTGGAGGCGGTGGTGGAGGCGGTGGAGGCGGTGGAGGTAGCGGTGGTGGCGGTGGGAGTGGTGGTGGGAGTGGAGGCGTCGGTGGCGGCGGTGGTGGCGGCATTGGGAGTGGTGGCGGCGGTGGTGGAGGCAGTGGGAGTGGTGGCGGCGGCAGTGGTGGCGGTCGGGGTGGAGCCGTTCAGAGGGGAGGTTCTGGCGGTGGCCAGCGGCAGCAGCAGCAGTGTCCGCGCGAGACCCCCACGCCCCAGCAGCTTCGTGAGTGGTTTGCTCAGCGTGGTACGTCTAGGGGTAGTGTTCGCTGCCAGTACGTCATTCGCACATGTGACCGTGCTGGTCAGACCGCTGCTTCTCCCGTCTTGACGACGCCTGGCGCGCAGAGTTTGGCGATGCGGCTGAGCTCCCCCGCTGGCTAGAGCTGCTTATGAACGATGTGGATATCTTTGCTCTTGACTATAATGCTATCCTTGCTGGCATGTATGCTTTGACTGTTAGTGCTGAGGGTGACTGTTACCTGTGTGTGCCGCCCGACCTAGGTATAGAGGCTGCTCCTCTAGGTGCTAGTGAGTCTGCTCTCTCTGGTACTGCGCCTGCTGAGGCCTTGCACACCTTCACGCTTGACTCAGGTGCTTCCCGCTGCTTCTTTCGCGACAGTACCATGGTCACACCACTCCCTGCACCAATTGCAGTGTCTCTGGCTGAACCCTTAGGGGGGCCGGTTCTTGCACGTTCCTCCACTGTTCTCCCGTGTCCGACGGTTCCGTCTGGCTCACTGTCAGGTCTTTACCTTCCCTCGTTCTCTACGAACTTGGTGAGTACTGCTGCCCTCCAGGATGCGATGGTCACTACCACCACTCCTGGGGGTCAGCGTGTGTCGATCTGCACGTGTGCACGGACGGGCCGTCACCTGGCCACGTTCACCCGTCGGCCTGGGTCGAGCCTGTACACACGGACTACTGAGCCTACTCAGGTGGCTGCGTCTGGTCAGGCGTCCACGTCAGTTCAGATAGCCGCCCCCTGTTCGTGTCGTCTCCTCTCGCACCAGACTCTCCTCTGGCACCACCACCTTGGTCACCCCTCCCTGCCACGCCTCCGTGGCATGCACTCCCGCCTCCTTGTCTCTGGTCTTCCCAGGTCTCTGCCTCCCCTCCGCCCTCGCCTGACAGGCCCTGCCTTCCTTGCGTCGAGGGGCGGTAGCGCGCCGCTCCTCACTCCTCCTCGTTTCCCCCGACGACTGCTCCCCTGCAGACTCTCCACATGGACGTGTGGGGCCCCGCCCGCGCCAGTGGACAGGGCCGCGAGCGCTACTTTCTGCTGGTTGTAGACGACTACACGCGTTGCACCACGGTCTTCCCCGATGTATTGATCCCTTGGATCCGCGCTGTCCGTCTCCAGCTCCGCAAGCGGTTCCGCCAGGACCTTCCTGTCCTGCGTCTGCACTCTGACAGAGGTGGTGACTTCTCCTCCGACCTCCTGCGGGACTTTTTTCGTGGGGAGGGCATCCTCCAATCGTTCACGCTTTCGGCCTCCCCGCAGCAAAATGGGGTTGCTGAGCGCCGCATTGGCTTAGTCGTGGAGGTGGCTCGTACCTCCATGATCCATGCGGATGATCCCCATTTTTTGTGGCCGTTTGCGGTCCGGTACGCGGCGCATCAGCTCAACCTCTGGCCCCGTGTCTCCTTGCCGGAGACCTCGCCTACACTGCGTTGGACGGGGGAGGTTGGCGATGCGTCGGTGTTTCGGGTCTGGGGTTGTCGTGCCTTTGTCCGCGATACCTCCGCAGACAAGCTCTCCTCCCGCGCCATTCCCCGTGTCTTCCTTGGCTTTCCCCCTGACGCGCCTGGCTGGCAGTTTTACCACCCCACCACGCACCGTGTCCTGCCTTCTCAGGACGTCACTTTTGACGAGTCGGTTTCCTTTTACCGTCTCTTCCCCTACCGCACTGCCCCTCTCTCCCCCCCGCCGCTCTTCCTCGCTCCAGGTCCCCCTCCCCCCTCAGGGTCCTGCTCCTTCAGGTGTGTCTCAGGTAGACCCACTCCCCTTGGCTGAGCCTGTCGAGGTCACTGTCGACTCTGGTGTTTCTGGGGGTGGTGCTGCTAGGGGTGCTGCGTCTGGGGGTGCTGAGCCTGCGGGTGCGGAGCCTGGGGGTGCTGAGCCTGAACGTGCGGAGCCTAGGGGTGCTGAGTCTGAGGGTGCGGAGCCTGGGGGTGCTGGGTCTTAGGGTGCGGAGCCTTGGGGTGCTGAGCTTGAGGGTGCGGAGCCTGGGGGTGCTGAGCCGGAGGGTACTGAGTCTGGGGGTGCTGAGCCTAGAGGTACTGTGTCTGCTGGAGGTCCTACGGGTGCCTCGTCACGGCGGTCTCACCGGCGGGAGCCTCTCTCACCACACCAGCTGCGCGAGTGGTTTGCTCGGAGCACCCGCCTTCGGAGTGGCGTTGCTGGAGCTGGGGGCCCTGCGCTGGAGCCACTGCCGCTGGAGGCGCTGGAGCTACTAGTCCTGGAGGTGCTAGAGGTACTGCTGGTGCTGGAGGCGCTGGAGCTGGAGGTACCGGAGGTGCTGGAGCTG